AAAAAAAAAAAAAAAAAAAAAAAAAAAAAAAAAAAAAGGCAAAAGAACTTAGATAAATATACTTGAAGGACTTACAACACATGATTTCAAGATGTATTATAACATTGTAGTTATAAAGACAGTGAGCTATTACCATAAAGATGGATCAATGGCCCAAAATAGGGACTCCAGAATTAGACTGACACACCTCTGTCAATTGATTTTTGAAAAGGAGGAAGAGGTAGTTTAGTGGAGGAAAAGATAATCTTTTCAACAAATAATGCTGAAACAACTGACATACAGATGCAACAACACAACTACAGTAACAAAGAACTGAGGTCCATACTTATTTACACCATGTAAACAAATTAACTTGAAATGGATTATGGACCTAAATGTAATACTAAAACTCTGAACACATAGAACAGGAGAAAATCTTTGTGATCTTAGGTTAGGCAAAGGTTTCTTAAAAAGAGCACCAAAAAGAAAATGAATAACCAGAAATAATATGTTAGACATCATCAAAATTAAGAATTTCTGCACTTCAAAAGACCTTGTGGCCGGGGGTAGTGGCTCACACCCCTAATCCCAGCACTTTAGAAGGTTGAGGTGGGCAGATTACTTGAGGCCAGGAGCTCGAGACCAGCCTAGGCAATACAGCGAAACCCCATCTACTCATCTGCTAAAAATACAAAAATTAGCTGGGTGTGGCGGTGCATGCCTAAGGCATGAGAATTGCTTGTACCCAGGAGGTGGAGGTTGCAGTGAGCTAACAGACAACCCACAGGGTAAGGGAAACTATTTGCAAATCACATTTGTGATAAACAATTTTTATCCAGAACATACAAATAACTGTTTAAATTCAATCAAGAAAACAAGCAAGCTAATAAAAATAAACACAGATTTAAAGACACTTCATGCAAAAAGACAGACAAACAGCAAATAAGCTTGTGATAAGATGCTCAATGCAAATTAAAGCCACAATGAACTACTACGACATACCTAAGAGAATGGTTAAAATGAAACTGTAGACTACACTAACTGTTGGAATGTGATGCAAGGCTGGGCATAGCGGATCACACCTGTAATCCCAGCCCTTCGGGAGGCTAAGGTGGGAAGATTACTTGAGCCCAGAAGTTTGAGACAAGCCTAAGCAACACGGAGAAACCCCAGCTTTACAAAAAATTAAAAAATGAGCTGGGCATAGTGGTGCGTGCCTGTAGTCCCAGCTGCTCAGAAGGCTGAGGCAAGAGGACTGTTTAAGCCTGGGAGGTCGAGGCTGCAGTGAGCCGTAATCACACCACTGTACTCCAGCCTGGGAGACACAGAGAGACCCTATCTTAAAAAAAAAGAATGTGATGCAACAGGGATTTCATACACCACCCATTGAGAATGTATAAATGGTACAACTACCTTGGAAAATATCTGAACAGTTTCACAAAATATTTAACATACATCTACCATATGATCCAGTCTTTTCACTCCTAGGCATTTACACAAGAGAAATGAAAGCATATTTCCATAAAATGTGACTTGTACATGAATATTCAAAGCAGCCTTATTTGGAATAGCTCCAAAATAAAATCACCTCAAGAGTTCATTAACAGGTAAATAAACTATGGCAATCCATACAATGTAATAAACATCATAATAAAAAAGAATGAACTACTAAAACACACAACATGGATAAATCTTGAAATAATTATGCTAAGTCAATGGACACAGACTGTAAACCAATAATGGCATATTATATTATTCTATTTACATAATACTCTAGAAAACAACAAATTAATCTTTAATGCCAGGAAACAGTTTGGTAGTTGCTTGGGGAGGAAGAAGTCACAGGTAAGAGAGAAAAAAAAAAGGGAGGGATTAAATTCTGGGGACTGATGGATATAATCATTATCCTGGTTGTGGTGATGGCTGTGCTAGAGAATACACATGCCAAATTGAAAAGTTGCACACTTTAAATATATATATTTTAAGTCAGGCATACCTTATGAAGATTTTTTTAAAACCATATAGCAGTGGGCTTGGAAAATGATGGCCAAAATAGTTATGATGTTAACCCTCCCCTCAAAAAGACTGCATTTTGATGTAGTATGAAGATGACTATAGAAATACAACATTATAATTATTAATATTTTATAAATAATATCAAAACAAAAATCTTCGGATAAGAATTCCCGATAATGTATAGAGAGTAGTAAGCAATCATCATTACCCAGGCAAGGAAAATTGTTAGCTGAATAAATGTTTGAATTATATTCCCTAAAAACTCCCAAAGGCCATTAAAAATTTTCAAAGTATGAATCATATATATACTTATTTTGCAAAAGTTTTAGTTATACTATACACTTGATATCAAATCAGGCCTTTTAATTAATTGCACATAATTATTTCTCTTATTTTACCAAAGGATTCCCGTTGGAAAGAATAAAAGGTAGAAATTAGTAGCCATAAAATTTTTTTTGAGAAAGTTTTCACTTAAAAATCACTGCTGAGATTGTTTTAAATACAGAACATGAAAAATATGAGTTAAATATCAACTTCATAAAGTCACAACTGAATTGGCTGGGTGCAGTGGCTCACATCTATAATTCTAGCAGTTTAGGAGGCTAAAGTGGATGGATCACCTGAGGTCAGGAGTTTGACATCAGCCTGGCCAACATGGTAAAATCCCACCTGTACTAAAAATACAAAAGAAATCAGCCAGGTGTGATGGCAGGTGCCTATAGTCCCTGCTACTCAGGAGGCTGAGGCAGGAGAATTGCTTGAACCCGGAGGCGGGGGCAGGGGTGGTTGTTGGGGGTTGCAGTGAACTGAAACTGTGCCACTTTACTCCAGCCTGGGTAAAACAGCGAAGCTCCGTCTCAAAAATAAAAAATAAAATAAAATAAAGTCATAGTTGAATATGCAATCACAGAATACCTAGGAGTTATTTCATAATTATACAGATTCTCATCCTTTGTGCTTTGGCTCTCAAGTACAATGAGTACTTCCTATGTATCCCAAGGCACTTTGCTACATTCTATTCCTACCAGTAGAATAAATGCTATAAAACAGTATTTACTATATTTTTAAGAATGAATATCCTAGGATATTAATATCATATAATATTAATTCTTAAAATTATAGGAGAGAATTTTAACCCCAAATGTGATACTTGCAGAATTAAACAATACTACTAAACAATTGCTATTGTAATCATATGTATTTAGATCTTTAGTTGTATTTACTCAAAAAAATCTGTAGCCAAAACAAGATACATTCAACTCTCTTTAAAATTGCATTCTCTTATCTAACAAAACAGAAATAACTTTTACAATTGCAATATTTAAGCTGTTAAAATAAAAGGAGAATAATTTGAGGGAATAATACTTTAATTCCATTGGAAACAAAGACCAGTTTAAAACTAAAATGCAAATACTTTGTTTTTTGTGAAAGAATGCAATTTCTAATTTCAGTTGAATGATATTTTGTACCTTATTGATGTTTGGCTCCTCCATCATAGAATTTTTGATGATTTCACTGTTGTCCTCTAATGACTTCATCAAGAAAGAATAACCACATGACAAAGAGTAAAGATGAGATGTAACATGCAAAATACTGGGGATTGATTAAATTTTATATTTTAAAACAAATTTACTAGAAAAGAACACTATATGGAGTTACTATTCTTAAAACTTTATACACTTTATAAGAAGCATGTATGAAGGTGCATGGTTAGGAAATGAGAAAAATTTAATCCCTCAGAACTTATTAACCACCACTATAAGTTTTATTCTGTCCCTAAGAAGTTTTTACTCAATTTCAAAATGTTGACATTAAAATACGATTGAAACCAAAGTACTTTATATTAAAATAAATAAAATAACCAGAGCTACTGGTGTCAGAGTACTATCAACCTAAAATTAAAGTTGAATTATTCTCTTAACTCGCTGCTATGTCTTATCTCCGTATCTGAACCTTCAGGAAAATCTCTGGATTAGGAAATTTCAGTTTCTACATTTATCTAATTCTTTTCCACTGAGGTAGGCAGAAGCAGTCAATAAATTGCTGGGAAGCACACATACTTCTTAAAAGGGAATAGTAGTACTTGCTAAAGAAAGAGTTCTTCCAAGACTTTTAGTTCTTCTCAGAAAGTCAAGCAAAACAAAACAAAACAAAAACAGAAAAAGGACTGGGAACAACAGGAGTTGTCAAGTCTCAATTTTTTATTAAGAATGACTTTATCTGCAGTTGTCTGTATTTTCTATTTAAGTACAAAGACAGAAGACATTCTATTTTAAAACACATGTACCAGTAAACTTTACTATATAGGAAAAGATCTGAGAATAAACCAGGATTTTAAGGTCAGATGAAGAAACCGTAAAATTTCATTTTCAAACACATAAAGAAATAAAGAGCGAGCAGTTCTCAAAATACTCTCCCATCACCTGCCATCCAAAATACAGAGCCTGTCATATATCTCCTAACCATCTGGAAAGTCACAGTGACTTCGACTAAAATAAGTATAACCATTATTTTAGAAAAATAAGAGATGGAAGATGACTTTGTTAATACTAAAAATAGGCTAGTAACCTTTCCAGTAACATTAATTTTATACCAACTCTATAAAGATTCTATTTAATTCCATTCAAATCTATGTTTTACTATATAAAATTTTTCTTTTCGTATTCTTTATCAAAAAGACACTATTTTTAAGAGTACTATTATCAAGAATAAAACAATAAAGTAGTCACAACAAACTTTTAATAACCACCATTAATTGTGTCAAGGTTTAAATAAGTTAAATCTATCAAAACATTGCAAAGGGGTAGTATTATGCATAAAAAGAGACAAAATTCAGAGAAAATATTTAGCTTACTGATAGTCACAAAACAGTTCAACATTCATGTTCATGCTTCTGATTAAAATAATTACAATAAAAATAATTTAAAAATTTTCTTGAGATATCATGAAACTCCAAAGAATAACAAATTTTAAAATGTGTGTATGCCTATTATTTGCTATGTTTATGCATTCTGGCTTGATTATACTACTTTTTTCCTTAATGACTCTATTCCTGAATCAATTAGACAATCTAATGGCCCAAGAGTTTTTTTGTTTTGTTTTCAGAATTACTTCATTTCCCAAATGCCCGAAATATATCAGCAGTAGAAAGGTAAGTTTTTTTGTAAGTTTAATAAAATATGCCAATTTAAAAACAGTTAAAAAAACAAATGAACTACATTCATGTTTGTCTAAATTTCAATGTTATACCAAGGTACTCAGGTCAGAAGTCTTCTAAGTCAGTAAGAATACTACATACTATTTCCTGACTTGGTTGATTTGAATATATTTACAAAATGAGGCAAATAGTAATAATAGCATATACAGTTTCCTCTTACAAATTATACTTAAATTGACAGCCAATGAGATATATATGTAATTTTCCTTTAAGGCAGAAAGGTTAGATGTCATCTTGCTTTTTGCTTACTTGCCTATTGTGAAGCCATTCAACTTATTTCTCTAACTGAAATATCTTCAGTGCTTGCAACTTCAAACACTGTACAAAGCTTGCTTTCAGACTAGTTCACTGCTACTCAAAATGTGGTTCACATACTGATTATCAGTTCTGAACCCTTTGCTACCAGTCCAGGAGACATAAAGAATTGACTACATCACTATGTTTACTGTTTAGTTCACTGGAATTTTTTAGTAACAAAACTTTCTCAATGAAGAAGGCAAGTTCCCCATATCATCAAACTGGTACTTATTACTAGCACTAAACTAAATGACCAAAAAAAAATTTTTTTTTTATTTTGATGATATTATCAAGGTATAAGCAACCAGTTACAGTATATGTTAATTAGGGTTTGTAACATTTCATTAATTTAAACATAATCCACAGAAAAGAAAATGTACATATTTAAAAAGTTGGCCGCATGCAGTGGCTCAAGCCTGTAATCTTAGCACTTTGAGAGGCCAAGGCAGGTAGATCTCCTGAGCTCAGGAATTCAAGACCACTCTGGGCAATATGATGAAACCCTGTCTCTACCAAAAATACAAAAAAATTAGCTGGGCATGGTGGTGCACTCCTGTGGTCCCAGCTAAGTGGGGGCTGAGTGGGAGGATCGCTTAAGCTTGGGAGGCAGAGGTTGCAGGGAGCTGAAATGCTGCCACTGTACTCCAACCTGGGTGACAGAGTGACATTCCATTTCAAAAAAAATAAATAAAAAATCTTCAGTATACAAACCTAGTTACAATTAAACTTCTAAGATAGACTTCTTTTAACTGTCACATGAAAATCATAGAAAATTTCTATCTTGTCTCTTAAATTGATGATCACGACAATTCAAAATACAAGAAACAAGATGTGGAATCTTAAACTTTTTTTTTTTTTTTTTGAGAAAAAAGTCCCAAATACATTTGAATTAATTAAATTAAATTGATTTATGAAAACACTGCCCCTCTTCTAAATCATACTTTTCTAAGCATTAATTGTCTATGTTTATGATATAAAACGTGTTTTCAAAAAAATCTGTAACATATAATTCATTTTAATGGTTACATGATAATATAAGACTTCAATAATAAAATAAACAGATTTTAACTTATACAGACCTCATTTAGACACCGTTTCTTTGTGAATATATTTTTGATAAAGGTTTCCTGAATTTCTTCCTGCTTCACCAAGTACTGCCAAAGCCTCTTCACAGACAGTGCCAGATGGTGTCTGGATCTACAGAGAGAGACAGTAAATTTAATTACACACTTTGGAGATTTCTGATTAACTTGATCACAATTCCTTGGTGCCATATGAATGTTTATTATAATAAATTAACTGCAATCAGACTATATGACTGGAGGCAGATCATATCGCCAACCTTTTCCTTAAATAAGATAGTATATAATTCAGACTTTGTGGACAGATGGTCTCTGTCACAACTACTCAAGTCTGATATTGCATGGGTAAAGTAACCCTTCAAAATAATTGGGACCAGAAGTATTTTGAATTTCATATATTTTCAGATTTTGAAATATTTGGATATATATGTCTAAATTCTAAATTCATTTATGCTTCTTTCATACACTTCTTATATGCATAATCTGAAGGTGAGAAATTACATATCTATACATATTACATATATATATATATCTATATATATAAAATATGTATGTATTTTTTTTAAGTTGAGTCTCAATCTGTGGCCCAGCCTGGAGTGCAAGGGGTCAATGTTGGCTCACTGCAACCTCCACCTCCTGGGTTCAAGCAATTCTCCTGCCTCAGCCTTTCGAGTAGCTGGGATTATAGGCACCTGCTATACCTGGCTAATTTTTGTGTTTTTAGTAGAGATGGGGTTTCACCATATTGGCAGGTGGTCTCAAACTCCTGACTTCAGGTGATCCACCTGCTTTGGCCTTCCAAAATGCTGGGATTACAGGCAGAGAAGGTAAGAAATTCTATTTTTAATAACTGTGTACATGAAACAAAGTTTGTGTTAAATACTTATACATGGCATTTTCCACTTACAGCATCATGTTGGTACTCAAAAAAATTTGAATTTTGGAGCATTTCAGATCCTAGATTTTAGGATTAGGGACTGTCAACTTGTAGTGGGAAAGCAGTCATTGGCAACATGCAATTGAGAGTTATGGCTATAATCCAATAAAACTTTATTCAAAGAAGCATGAGAAGTCTAGATTTCACCTGTGGGGATGGCCATAGTTTGTTGATTCCCTAACCTAGGGCCATAGGATCTAACAAAAATAGAATGCTTTACCAAAATCTCTGGGACACAGCTAAGGCAGCATTAAGAGGGAAATTCATAGCACTAAATGACCACATCAAAAAGTTAGAAAGATCTCAAATTAACAACCTAATATTACAATTGAAAAAAAAATCAAAGAAGCAAGAACAAATAAACCCAAAAGGTAGCAGAAGATAAGAAATAACAAAAATGAGAGCTGAACTGAAAGAAATTGAGTCACAAAAAACCATTAAAAAAAAATCAACAAATCTAGGAGTTGGTCTTTTGAAAAAAGTGGTAAGATAGACAGACTGCTAGCTAGACTAAGAAGAAAAGAGAGAAGATCCAAATAAACACAATTAGAAATGACCAAGAGGATGTTACTACTGACCCCACAGAAATAAAAATAACCATCAAAAACTACTATGGAGATCTCTATGCACACAGACTATAAAACCTACAAAAGATGTATAAATTCCTGGACACATACACCATCCCAAGACTGGATCTGGAAGAAATAATTCCCTGACCAAACCGATAATGAGCTCTGAGATTGAATCAGTAATAAATAGCATATCAACCAAAAAAAGCACAGAACTGGATGGATGCACAGCCAAATTCTACCAAATGTACAATGAAAAGCTGGTTGCCATTCCTACTAAAACTATTACTAAAAATTGAGGAGATGGAACTCCTCCACAACTAACTCTATGAGGCCAACATTATTCTGATACCAAAACCTGGCAGAGACACAACAAAAAAAGAAAACTTCAAGCCAATATCCTTGATGAATGGTGACACAAAAATCCTCAACAAAATACTTGCAGACCGAATCCAGCAGCATATCAAAAAGCTCATTCACCACAATCAAGTGGGCTTCATCCCCAGGAGCAAGTTTGGCGCAACATATGCAAATCAATAAATATGATGAATCACATAAACAGAACTTAGACAAAAACCACATAATTATCTCAATAGATGAAGAAAAGGCTTTTGATAAAATTCAACATCACTCCCTGTAAAAAGTTAATAAACTAGGTACTGAAAGAACACACTTCAAAATAGTAATAGCCATTTATGACAAACCCACAGCCAGTATCATACTGAATGGGCAAAAGCAGGAAGTATTCTCCTTGAAAACCAACACAAGACAAGAATGCTCTCTCTCACCACTCCTATTCAGCTTAGTATTGAAAGTCCTGGCCAAAGCAATCAGGAAAGAGAAAGAAAGAAAAGGCATCCAAATAGGAAGACAGGAAGTAAACTAACCCTGTTTGCTGATGACATGATTCTAATTATAGAAAACCCCATGTCTCAGCCCAAAAGCTCCTAGATCTGATAAACAACTTAGCAAAGTTTCAAAATACAAAAATAAATGTACAAGAAATCACTAGCATTCCTATACACCAACAACAGACCTCATTTAGACATGAAAGCTGTCCCATTCACAACTGCCACAAAAAGAATAAAATTCCCAAGTATACAGCTAACCAGAGGGTGAAAGAGATTTCAGTGAGAATCAAAACACTGCCCAAAGAAACCAGATAAGGTACAAATGAAAAAAGTATCCCATGTTCATGGATAAGAAATCATTAAAGTGGCCATTGCGCCCAAAACAATTTACAGATTCAATGCTGCTCCTACTAAACTACCAACAACATTCTTCACAGAACTAGAGAAATCTATTTTAAAATTCGTATGTAACCAAAACACAGCCTGAATAGCAAGGCAATCTTAAGGAAAAAGAACAAAATTGGAATCACATTACCTGATTTCGAAGTATAAAACAAATAAAATACAGTAACCAGAACAGAATATACTGGTACAAAAATAGGCACACTGGCCACTGGAACAAAAAAAGAACCAGGAAATAAGGTGACAGAACTCCCTCTGAACATCTGATCTTCGACAAACGTGACAAAAACAAGCAATCAAGAAAAGACCCCCTATTCTATAAATGGTACTGGGATAACTGGCTAGCATATTCAGAAGATTGAGGCTGAACCCTTTCCCTGCAACATACACAAAAATCAACTCAAGACGTATTAAAGACTTTCATGTAAAACCAAAAGCTATAAAAATTTTGGTGGACAACCTATGCAATACCACCCTGGGCACAGGAACAGGCAAAGATTTTATGACAAGGACGCCAAAAGCAATTGCAACAAAACCAAAAATTGACAAATGGGATCTAATTAAACTTAAGAGCTTCCACACAACAAAAGAAACTATCACCAGAGTAAACAGACAACCTACAGAATGGGAGAAAAGTTTTTCAAACTATGTACCTGACAAAGATCTAATATCCAGCATCTATAAGGAACTTCAACAGATTTACAAAAGAAAAACAAACAACACCATTAGAAAGTGGGCAAAGAACATAAACAGACACTTTACAAAAGAAGACATACATGTGGCCAACGAGCATATGAAAAAGCTCAGTATCACTGATGATTTGAGAAAAGCAAATCAAATGCACAATGATATACCATCTCACACCATTCAGAATGGGTATCATTAAAAAATAACAAATTATTTATAAAAAATAACAGATTCTGGGAAGATAGCAGAGAAAAGGGAACATGTATGCACTGTCAGTGGGAATGTAAATTAGTTCAACCATTGTGGAAAGCAGTAGAGTAATTCCTCAAAATAGAACTATCATTTGACTCAGCAATCCCATTACTGGGTATATACCTAGGATAATACAAATCATTCTACCATAAAAGACACAAGCACACAAGTGTTCATTGCAGCATTATTCACAATAGCAAAGACATGGAACCCACCTAAATGCCAATCGGTGACAGACTGGATAAAGAAAATGTTGTACAGATATAAGAAATACTATGCAGCCATAAAAAAGAATGAGATCATGTCTTTTGCAGGAACATGGATTGATCTGGAAGCTACTATCCTTAGTAAACTAATGCAAGAACACAAAACCAAATACTTTACGTTCTTACTTACAAGTGGGAGCTAAATGTTGAGAACTAATGAACACAAAGAAGGGAACAACAGACAATGGGGTCTACTTAAAGGTGGAGAGGGGAGCGAGAAGAGAAAGAGGATCAGAAAAAATAACTATTGGGAGCCAGGTGTGGTGGCTCACAGCTGAAATCCCAGCACTTTGGGAGGTTGCGGCAGGCAGATTGCTTGAGCTCAGGAAATCAAGACCAGCCTGGTAACAAGGTAAAACCCCATCTCTATAAAAAAATATAAAAAATTAGCTGGGCATGGTGGTGTGTGCCTATGGGCCCAGCTACTGAGGAGGCTGAGCCAGGAGGATCGTTTGCGCATGGGAGGTGGAGGTTGCAGTGAGCTGTGATCATGCCACTGTACTCCAGTCTGGTTAACAGAGTGAGACTCTGTCTCCAAAAAAGAAAAAATAACTACTGGGTACCAGGCTTAGTACTACCTGGGTGATGAAATGATGAAATAATCTGTAGGACAAATCCTCATGATATCAGTTTATTTCTGGGTTCTCTATTTTGTTCCACTGGTCTATGTGTCTATTTTTGTACCAGTACCATACTGTTTAGTTACTGTTGCTTTGCAGTATAGTTTAAAGTCAGGTGATGTGATACCTTTGTTCTTTTTGCTAAGGATTACTTTGGCTATTCCAGCCCTCTTTTGGTTCCACGTGAATTTTAGAACAATTTTTTTCTAATTCTGTGAAGAATGATGTTGGTAATTTGACAGGAACAGTGCTGAATCTGTTGACTGATTGTTTAGTGCTATAAACTTTCCTAGTAACACTTTTGTGGCCAGTTATTTTGAATAGCATTGCTCTAAAGCAGGCATTAATAAACTACAGCTCACAGTCCAAATCTAGCCTACCTACCATTTTAAGGAATAAATTTTATTAGACAATAACCGAATATATTTGTGTACATGTTGTCTATGGTTGCTTTTACTCTACAATGGCAGGGTTGAGTAGTTGTGACAAGAATGTACAGCCCAAAAAGTAAAACACCTATTTTAAAAACAGTACTCAGGTCAGGTGTAGTGGCTCACGTCTATAATCCCAGCACTTTGGGAGGCTGAGGCAGGTGAATCACCTGAGGAGTTTGAGACCAGCCTGGCCAACATAGTGAAACCCTGTCTCTACTAAGAATACAAAAATTAACTGGGTGTGGTGGTGGGTGCCTGTAATCCCAGTTACTCAGGAGGCTGAGGCAGGAGAATTGCTTGAACCTGGGAGGCGGAGTTGCAGTGAGCTGAGACTGTGCTATTGCACTCCAGCCTGGACAACAGAGCAAAATGCCACCTCAAAAAACAAACAAAAAAACTCAAACAGTATTCATAAGAAAACCTACTTGAAAGGAGTGTTTGTAGGTTCCAGTAAAGCTTTGTGGCGGAGAATTGCAGGACCTGCAGACAAATTCTCTTCAGAGATATGACTTGAGATATAATTTTGAGGTGGCCCACCATGGATTTCAAGTCGTCGGAGAAGAACTTGTTCCCAACACTGAAGAGTTTTTAGAACCGCATGACAAAGAGGTGAACTGACTGGAAGCTCTAAATGGGAACATTGATCCATATTAATCTTATGCAGTAAAATGCCATATTTAATTTTAAGAAACACTGAAATGAGAGAGGGGAGAATGGATGCAGGAAAAAAGGAAAAAGAAAAGAAGAGACTGAGATGAAATATTAACATACACTTTGGCAGGGAAGATGTGCAAGGTGAGGTGGGCATAGAAACCCAGTAGATTACCAAAGGTATGCCATAAATCTGTGTAAGTATTTCAACATTACTGCTTCTGACTTTAATATCACAAGAAAAAATGTATCTGAAGATTATGAAAATATGTGTGGGGAGAAAATTAATCGCTTTAAATCAAGCTTGTCCAACCCATGGCCTGCAGGCTGCCTGCGGCCCAAGAAAGCTTTGAATGAGGCCCAACACAAATTCGTAAACTTTCTTAAAATACAAGATTTTGTTGTGATTTTTCTTTTTAGCTCATCATCTATTGTAAGCATGAGTGTATTTTATGTGTGGCCCAAGGCAATTCTTTTTCTTCCCATGTGGCCCAGGGAAGCCAAAAGAATTGGGCACCCCTACTTTAATTTTTATCAGACTAATTTCCGTATGGCATATAACTCTTTAAGATCTATAGATAATGAAAACAATAGATAAAGTTAAAAAAATTACATAATACTTGCCATGAAACTCAGCACTTTCCAGTTCTGCCCATCCATATCCTTTCAGTCCTGATCCCACTTTCCACTTTTAGCTATTCCTACTACTTATCTCCTATATCTAAATAACATGCTTAATACTTAATTCTTCAATTTTAGAAATGATCTACTGATTTACTACTATGGCATGATGAGAATAAACTCTTCTCTCTATCATTATGAAAGAGTCTCATAAAAATTTTTGGTTAAATTGGTATTCTTGTGTTTACCTTATTATATATACAGAACTATAGTTCATAGCTGAATCACTTAGCATATTATCATGCCCCTTTCTTTCCTATATAATCTTTTCCTCCTTTGGAGTTAATAATTGCTAGTGTTTTGCATTTGCTTAGTTTTCTGTCCATTGTAAAATCCTCAACACTTAGCTAGAATAAAAATAGAGTCTCAATATAGTCAATCACATGACATTCAGTGTCCTTGATTTCTTGGATGTTGTCCTCCTCAAGCACCTACCAGTATGACAGATACATTTACAGGTGGTTGGTTTAGTTAAAAGAAATATATCTTCTATAACTAAACATTTTCCCCACTCCAAACAAACAAACAAAACAGAGTAGTAAGTCAAAAGTAATGACACCATTAGTTCATGTTGAGCTATTTATTACCTGCAAGATCGTGACCTGCAAAGGGATAAAAAGTCTTCAAATTGTTGAGCACCAACTGCACCATTGCCAATCGCATCAAGGACCAACTAAAAATAAAGTAATGATGGATCTGTTAATGATTTCTATAGGGATTCAGAAGAGTAAGCTACCCTTTGACTCAACAAATTCCACCATTAGGAATCTATCCTGAATATACCCCTCTACAAAAACAAAATAATATATGCATGTAGTTAATCATGCCAGTATTATCTACTATAGCAGAAGTGTAGAAATAACCAAATTATCGACCAGGAGAGTACTCGCTGAATAACTATTTTTGATCTATGGAATATTAGGGTAACCATAAGGAAGAATGAAGAAGGATCTCTAAGAGTTAATATGGAGTAAGTTTTGGTATGTAGTAATAAATAAAAAGCAAGTTGCAGAATACTGCATGTAGTATGTTACCCTCTCTGCAAGAAAGCAGGAGGAATAAGTTTAGATTGATTCATTTGTTTATTTTTGGAAAAAGAAGGATAAACCAGAAGCTAATAAAAGTGGTTAGCTGTAGAGGATGTACAGAAGAAACTGGATAAACAGAAGTTTAACTAAGACTTGTGATTTTATATTTTTACATTTGATTTAAAAAAATATTTCAGCTTCTCTTTTATTTCAAGTGGAACATATTTATTTCTTAAAAGACTGAATTTTTACTTACTTTTTAATAGTGGTAAAATACAAAAACAAAATTTACCATTTTAGTCATTTTAAAATTTATAGTTCAGGGGCATTAAGTACATTCACATTGTTGGGCAATCACCACCACCATCCATCTCCAGAACTCTTTTCATCTTGCAAAACTGAAACTCTAAATTCATTCCCCATTCTCCCCTGTCCCCAGCCCTTGACAACCACTATTTTATTTTTAGTCTTTATGTATTTCACTATTCTAAGTACTTCATATAAGTGAAATCACATACTGTGTCCCTTTCTGTAACTGATTTATTTCACTTAGCATAATATCAATGTTGTAGCATGTGTTAGAATTTCCTTCCTAATTAAGGCTGAATAATATTCTGTTGAACGTACATAGCACCTTTTGTTTAGTATTTCACCTGTTAAAACACACTTATTTCCTCCTCTTGGTTACTATGAATAATGCTGCTATGAACATGGAATGCATAAATAGCTGTTTCAGGTCCTGTTTTCAATATTTTCAGGTATGTATCCAGAGTAGAAATGCTGGATCATATAGAAATTTTATTTTTAATTTTTTGAGGAACCAGTATACTGTTTTTCATAGTTGATGCACCATTTTACAATTCCCACAAAAGTTACACAAACATTTCAATTTCTCCTCATCCTTCCTAGCACTATTATTTTGCGTTTTTTTTGGTAGCCATCCTGATGGGTGTAAGATGATGTCTCATTGGGGAATTGATTAGCATTTTTCTAATGATTAATAATATTGAGCATCTTTTCATATGCTTATTGGCTATTTTCATATAGTTTTTGGAGAAATGTCTATTCAAGTCCTTTGTTCATTAAAATTTTTTTTGCTATTTTAGAAATATAGATGGGTTTTGCCATGTTGCCTGGGTTGGTCTTGAACTCCTGGGCTCAAACAATCTGACCACCTCAGCCTCCCAAAATGCTGGGCTTATAGGCATAGGCCACCATGCCCAGCCCTTTGTTCAATTTTTAAATTATTTGTCTTTTTGTTATTGAGTTGTACAGTTTGACTTTTAAATGTTTTATGTATTCAAAAAAGTAAAATTCATTTAGCAGGGGGAAAACAACTCAATAAACCAGGAAGTAAAAATCTCATAGTAACTTTTCAATAAAGAATGACTTCATTGTCCCTCAAACATTTACTTCTTTTAGAAAATTTATATTTTTTATCACACCATTAACATACCATGTTTTAGCAAAACATATATGCGTTTTAGATGTAAACATATCAACATAGACAAGATAATATTCTATCATTCATGAATGTAACAACAACACAGTACTGGAGCTAGAGGTGAGCATTTAGCACATTTATGATTTTTATGATATACAGAGTACTTTTTATAGATAGTGCCTATTGACATCTTATAATACTAGTGTTCTGAAAATACTTTATGTTTTCTAGAATAAAACAGTAGAACTTGTTTATGTTAGAGTCCAAAATGCAAGATATAATTTGGAGCAAGATTTGTGAGGAATAATACAAATTACAGAAGGTTCATTCATGGACAACCAAAGGTATGTGAGAAATTATTGTTAAGAAAAGGAATTTGCAAACCACCATGGCATGTGTATACCTATGTAACAATCCTGCATGATCTGCACACGTACCCCAGAACTTAAAGTATAATTTAAAAAAAAAGGAATTTAACAATTTCAACTAAAGAAATCTGAGTTATAATGTGTTATAAAGTCAATAAGCTATTAATTTCACATGTATTTTCAAAAATATTATTTACATAAACCATAACTTAAAAAAACTTAAAATACAATATTCTGTACCTATATGAATTTGAATTAGAATGCTCCTGGAGATGGAAATCTGATGCTAAAACATCATCATCATCATCATCATCACTTTCCAGACTCTCCTCTGAATCATATTCTGCTCTACTTTGAGAAGGCGGTAGAAAAGGCTAAAAAAAGGAAATAATGAAATTCATCAGCCAAATACCTAATTTAATACATCCAAACATATAGTCTAATAGTAACAATTCATCCCATTTGCAGATACTTTATTATAAGAAAGTTAAGCAAATATTATCTTACAATCCTATGCCTTTGACACAACTTGACACAATTCTGTTATTTATTCAACAAAAGTTTATTAAGTATCCACTGTGAGGCAAGAATTCTACCTGATTTAAGAATTTTTAAGACAGATACAGTCACTGCTCTCATTTACATTTTACATGCTAGTGGAAAAGATAGGCAAATAACAGAAAATTAAATACAAATTGTATTAAGTGTTATAAAGAAAAGAAATGGAAAATAAGGAGAATTGAGATAAGCTGATTATGGAAGGCCTTTTTGAAAAGTAAAGAGAGCTGAAGGATCAGAAGGAACAAGCCATATAACAAGAGGGAAGAAAAGCATTTTAGACGGTGGAAACGGAAAGCAGAGAGGCTTTCAGATGGGAAAGAGTTTGGTTTGAGTAACAGTAGTTTGAGTCTACCAAGCAAAAAGATAAAAGTTGGGAGAAAGGTTGAAGAGAATAGCACATGACAGCTCAGACAGGGTCTTGTAGGCCATGGTAAAAGCATGTAAGGGAATGCCATTAATATGTTGTATATAAAGGACAGGTATTGAGATTTATATGCTAAGTATATCACTATGATCACTCACTTATGAGAGAAAAGCTAAATGGCAAGAGTAGAAATGGAGACGTCAGTAACTAAAACAGTAATTGCAGCCTGGATTTAGGTGGTTAGTAATGAAGCTAGAGAGAAATAGTAGATTCAAGACATATTTTGAAGAAAGCACTGACAAATTTGCTGATAGATTTGGAGGGCAAGAGAAGGTGAGGAGAAATGAATGATTCCTAGATTTTTTGCTTGTGCAACTATAAGGATAAAGATGTAATTTCATAAAATGGAAAGACTTTGGGTTTGAGAGGGAAGGTTTTGGGAAAAATCGATATAAAATGCCCAAATCGTGAAGACCAAAATTCATGGGTCAAATAGAAGAGGAAGGATGAAGAAAGAAGATTATGAAGGAATAAATAGTAAGTTTAAGAGAAAAAGCTAGAAGAGGCTGGCATCAAGAGAAAAGCAGAGGGAAGCATTTCAAGGTGGGAGTAGTGAAGAATGCTGAATGATGCTAAAAAGACAGATGAGATAATAGCTTAAATTTTCCATTATATTTGACATGGATATCACCTGAATTTCAACAAGAGCAGTTTCAACGGGAGTAACTAGGCCAGAAAGTTGTATGATAAGTATGAAAGGGAAATAAGGCAGTAGAAAGGAAGTGTGTCTATAGTTTTGAAAAGCTGAGGCCGGGTGTGGTGGCTCATGCCTGTAATCCCAGCACTTTGGGAGGCCAAGGCGGGTGCCTCCCAAAGTGATCACAAGGTCAAAAGATCGAGACTATCCTGGCCGACATGGTCAAATCCCGTCTCTACTGAAAAAAAAAAAAAAATACAAAAATTAGCTGGTTGTGGTGGTGTGTGCCTGTAGTCCCAGCTACTCGGGAGGCTGAGGCAGGAGAATTGCTTGAATCCGGGAGGTGGTGGTTGCAATGAGCTGAGATCATGCCACTGCACTCCAGCCTGGGTGATACAGCAAGCCTCCATCAAAAAAAAAGAAAAGAAAAGAAAAGAAAAGCTGAATGTGATTGGGAGTAGAGAAATGGGATAGCAGTCAAAAAAGTTTCAGGATCAAAGCAGGGGTTTGGAATGGGAGACACTAAAGCACATTTCTGTCCTGATATGAAGGATTCAAAGAGGAAGAGAACATAGCGGAGAGTAGAGAAGAAAAGAAAGAATGTGATTCAGAACAGAACTCGAGAAAATGGTCTTTGACAGAAGAACTCTTCCTCCATTGTAACAGGAGTGAATAAGACAGGAGCAAATGTAATTGAGCTATAACTTTATAATGTGATGATGAAAAAGTTTTGTCTCATTCTATTTTTCTCAGTGACTTGTAAGGTAAGGTCATCAATTAAAAGTGAGGATAAGAAAACCTTGGAAGACCAACAAAGAAACACAGCAGCAAAAATAGAACTTCTGGATCAGCTGAGTAAAGAGTTTGGTAAGTTCTTTCCCCAAAAAGCAACAGTAAAATTGAGCAATGTTGTAACAAACAACCAATAGTTGACCCATGTATATAACACATAGAGAAGTATTTATTTTTAAAAATCGATGGGATCTGGGTAAAACAGTGAGATCGTGGTCAGGAGCTGTTTCCATCCCACTCAATCTCTGTGGTGTAGTTATTCCACCAGGGCCAGCAGGATAGGCTGTGAAGACTAATAATTCTAGTGTCCTGCCAGAGGGGATTGTCTTTAAAATTCTGGACCCAAAGGCATTATCAAAAGTAACAGAGATCTCAGTAGCAAACAATTAGGGAAGGGAACATCTCAACTACTTTGAGGTTGTGATATTGATTGGGCCTAAGGGCAGACCCTAGACATTGAACAAAAATATTCAGGAACAAGACAACTAAACAAGGCTTTGCCAACCAACAATCCTATATCCAGCAAAACTCTCCTTCAAAAAATGGAGGTGAAACAAAGATATTCCTAGATACATGAAATGCTTAATAAACACTTGTTGAATATATGAACAAATAAAATGACTCAAAAAAGGGCAGTGAGGAACCAGGAGACACAAACTCCCTTCATTGCCTTTAAGCATACAGGATATGAGAAAAACACAAGCCACAGCTTAGCAGGCCTAGGAGACTCGTGTCAGTAGAGAGAACAGTTAGATATCAATTTGTACAAGGAAGGAGAATGTCTGGAAATTGAGAATGTGGGGGATGTTGTTGATGACACAAAAAATGGAAGATACATATATGGGCAGTCCTTGTTTTGAATAGCATTGCATGACAGTAAAACTGACCATGCAAGCAGAAACTACCCGGAGCAGTAATAACCAATGGGAAAAATTACCAATGTTTTCTGATCTTTAAAAATATTTGTCAAAACACTAAAACCTCTTACTATCAGCTATAAATGTACAGAAAAAAATTTTAAATAAACTAATTTTAGCACACTGTAATTAAAATATTAGAAATACAAAGAAATAAAATGTTTTTTTCAAAGAAATAAAATGAAGCGTGCATCTCTTCTGTGCCTTAAACAAACTGTAACATTTCTAAGTTTTTATCAGCTTCCAACATTCTGTTTTTTGCATTTTCAATGTTATGAATCCCTTTAATGTAAAGTTTTCTGGCAAGGTCACTATCTCTGAACATCTTCATCCTTTTAACACAACTACCTTCTACATTTATAAGCTCACCTTCACTAAATTTCTCTGGCTGTACATCTAAAGTCTATCAAATGGCAGCATTGTCAACATACCCACAGTTGGATATTTTCTCTCTAACTCTCATTTATGTCCAATTTGAATTTCACTTTCAGTATTATCACTTTTTTTATGGATGCACTTTCATCTTAGTTGGCCACTTTCCTCTTTTGATTAAATCCAATTTTGTACACTATCATGTGGGTTTCTCACAGGAAATGAAGCAAAACAACTGCATGCTTTGCTATGTATGAACTGAATAACAGGCACTACATGATCAACCACCTAAAGCCTTTGAAAGAACTGACATGATTGGTTACTGATCAAAAGATGCATATTTACACAGTGATTTCTAGAATGAAGCGCTAGCAGGGATGTTTATTCTTTACACAATTACTCATATTTAATATATTGTGGTAACAAATTTGAACCATTTTATTGAGGAAATAATCTTAACTCTAGAAATTGAAATTTATGCATTTCAGAATAATTAGAGACTGCTGTAGTATAAAAAAACATGTATATGGATGATAACTGGCCAGAGCACTTTGCATTCTTAATCACCACCAAATACATTAACATGAGGGTGTCAAGCAAATTCTCTTTTATCATATAAAAACACAATAAAATGGCAAAGTTATTGTTTAAAATGAAAATGTTATAATTTACCAAAAACTGCCTTAAAAACTGATATGAAATATGGTCAAAATATTCTAGGGTATATATTTTTGGAACGTAGCCTGATACTAATGAAAATTTTCTAAACCAAAGTGGGAAAACATTTGGAAGCACCAAAAATTACACTTATTTCAGATATTCTCATTTCTATTTGACTATGAAAATATTGATCTAGATAGCATTTTAATTACCTTAGCTATGAAATAGTCCCAGATACTGAGCTCGGGTGGGATGAACTTTTCTTTAACTGCCAGTGACTCCTGGCTTACTGGTGGTGATGAAGGGGTCAGTGAGGCCGATTCTCTGTAAGGCATTTTTGATGACCTAAAACATTTGTTCTGTTTTTCTCCTTCTTCAACCAGTGAAGAAACTAACAAAAAGAAAATAAAATGTTATTGAAGTACTATTTTCACTACATTTATTTCAACCTGTCTTTATATAAGATCTAAGGTTAACTACAAATAAGTACACACACAAAAAATAAGATTGAGATTATGAAAGTATAAAGCAGGTAAGAAAATAAGTAGGGAAAGACAAAAATAACTTTTTCTAGCAACCTCTGTTTTTTCCTCAATTTGTCCCTCACTCTTTAAATGCTGACTTATCTATTGTATGTGAAAGATAAAAGAATGTAATATCCACCCATAAATCAGTCCACAATTTAACTCGGAACACAACAGGGAATTTCCAACATCCACTTTGCTGTTTTTTAAAGATTATCATGGGATGTCAGCATTAATTAAAAGCAACAGCTCCCTTCTGAGATTCTTCGGTAATCATGTGGCCTTATATTTAAAACTACATTTTTCATTAGAAAATATAAACAAAATTCAGGCACTGTAACTATTTAAATTGATTCAAACTTTTGGAAATGGCTCAAAGATAGAATTTTCTAGTCAATGGAATTATAGAGAAGAAAATAATGCAATTTTTACTGTTTTACTTTGTGAATCCTCTACAGTTAGATAGTATTTTTTTAGTATATTACCTCAGAATACTAAAGACATTAGCATTAAAAGAGTTATGCAAATCTTTAATCAACCCTGAGTTACAAAATGCAAATCACCAGTAGAGAATCAAGGATTTTGCAGACAAAGGCATGATCTAATACACAGGCAAACAATTCCACATTAAGGCACACCAATATTCTCCTTCAATGGTTCCAATGAGATTTTACTTACCTTCCAAAAGAATGCAAATACCTGTGCTGTAATACAATTTGGTTTTATTGTTTGAAGCTTCTCAGCTTGCAGACATAGCATGCACATGCATTATAACAAGCTACAATCAAGCTGAGTTTAACACAGTAATTTGGTTATTTCAGAAAAAAGGAAAGATGAATAAAATATTAGTATTCTAAAAGATTACAGGGCCTGGCACGATGGCTCATGCCTATAATCCCAGCACTTCGGGAGGCTTGGGAGGCCAAGGCAGGCAGATCACCTGAGGTAGGGAGCTCGAGACCAGCCTGACCAACATGGAGAAACCCCCGTCTCTACTAAAAATACTAAATTAGCCAGGTGTGGTGGCACATGCCTGTAATCCCAGCTACTCGGGAGGCTGAGGCAGGAGAATCGCTTGAACTCGGGAGGCGAAGATTGTGGTAAGTCAAGATCACACCACTACACTCAGCCTGGGCAACAAGAGCAAAACTCTGTCTCCAAAAAAAAAAAAAATTACTAAAAAGTGGCATGATTATGGTTATTACTTAATCTTTCAAATGATTTTAAAAGGAACTGTCAGATTAAATGTGTAAATTTTTTTTCTGTGTTCTTACTAACATTTAATAACCAACAATCAAGTTTGCAGTATTATTGTTGCATACATTAACATACATTCTAAAACTTAAAACAGTTTACTAACTTCTCATCAAGTGAAAAATGAGGACTATAGAGGTATTGTTTTCTACCTTTCAAAAACTTAATGCTAAGTTTTAAAATAAATTTACCAATTTATCATTTGGCTTTAACTTTACTGTTTTGTCTTTTTTAAGAGATGGAAGTCTCCTTATGTTGCCTAGGCTGGATTTAATCCCTGGACTCAAGGGATCCCCACACCTCAGACTCTTGAGTAGCTGGGAGTAGGCTTGTGCCACTTCACCTGGTTGTTTTTGTTTTTATGTTATTAAAAAGCATGTGAACCAGGAAGTACAGAGAATCTCTGAAAAAAATAAAACTTATGATAAATTACTAGATTTTTGCCAAGATTAGCCGGTGATAAAAATAGTTTTCTTTTTTCCTTTACTGACTCACTGGTGGATAAAAGATAGATTTAAAAGTAAAACATAAGGGAGTTTTCAAAGACAGAAAACATTTGAAACTACAATATGTGAATCCAAACACATGACATGAAAATAAGAAATTGACCACACTGGGAGGGAATGTTTAAAATATACAGACTCAACACCAGGAAGTATAAAACCACTTATTAAAACACTTTTTATGAAGCAGTACCGAAGGAAAAAAAATGGCAATTAGTTTTACAGTAATGAATGTATTAATTTAGATGCTATAACTAAAAGGATCTTAGTAATACCTCCCATCAAACAATAAATGACCCATGACTTGTCAATAGGATAGTTGCCCCCTCTTCTTTTTCCTCCAATTGTAGAAATACTTAAGGCAATTTTATGCTTAAATCTTGTTAGGTCAGATTGGTTGTGAAGCTTAGGGGGCACCAATACAAACTATAGCTGCTGGGTGTTCAGCTAGTTGTTTCTGAACATGCTAAAAATGGAATATCAAGAATGCTTGCCACTCCTTGGGTGAAAATGAACTCTTCTATTATTAAGGGAAAAACAGCTACTTTAGTAGTAATAGAAAAAAAATTAGTATTAAAGAGAAATGAAGAGCAACTTGAATATAGAGTTTATGAATTTTAAGAGATATAAGGAGGCTAGAAAGTGGCTGAAGAAAAACTAAGGCATTCACAGGAAAAACAGAATCATGTCCTGACATAAATTTCATAAATAAGTTTCAGCTGCTTTTGCAGGAAATACTTTCTAAAACAAAGCTTCCATGTCAAGATAGTAGACTGTACAGATAAATATACCTTCCTTCCCTTAATAATCCTTTCCTCACCCTAAGAACATTCTGCACTGTGGTTTTTTTTAGAATTATAAAATTAACTCCCCAAGGAACCCAAAACAAAAATGGAGAAATGGTTAACAGGCTATACATAGGGAAGGGGAAGAGTAGAGGAATAAGACAACATTCCTTCCTATAAATTCTTCTGTACTGCTAGACTTGTTACACACATATATTGCTGTGATTAAAACTAGAGCATAAGGGGAAGGCTATTAAGTTAATATTTATTTTTCAGTTTATCATTGAAAATCAGTACAATGAAATTAATATTCTGAATCTAGATTTAAATGTCATTACTTTGAAAACTGAACTTAAGAGTTCAAGACCAGCCTGGGCAACATGGTGAAACCTTGTCTCTACAAAAAATACAAAAATTAGCTGGGCATGGTGGTGCACCCCTGTAGCCCCAGCTACTTGGGAGGATCACTTGAGCCCAGGAGGCAGAAGTTGCACTGAGCTGAGATCACATCACTGCACTCCAGCCTGGACAACAGAACCAGACCCTGTCTCAAAAACAAAACAAAACAAAACAAACAATAAAAACACTGAACCTAAGTAACCTGCAGGTCTCATTCTCTACTTCTCCATCTAAGGCACCCACATCTATAGAGTTATCATGAGTTTGACAGAGTGAACATGAAGCTTCAGGAGGCACATTAGTCTGAAACTTCAAACTGAGCCCCCAAAATTTCAGGGAAGGAGATAAATCATTTAACTAATGGTTTAAAACATTTTCTGTTGAAAGGAACACAGCTATGGAAAAGATAAAAGTCATGTAAGTGTAAGATAAAATAGATTTTAAATTTATTTCTTGCTTTCAGCAAGGGAATTCAGTCTAGGTCCTCGGTCTCCTAATAGGTATATATTCATCTTCCCTTATCTTCATGTAAAAAGTGTGAGAACTACAAATGTATGTGAACATTAATTACAAAACAATTCCTTAAAATTAAATGTAGAACATGATTTTCCAAGTAAACTTCAAAGATTCCAAAAATAAAAGGATTAAATAAGCAATTAATTGAAGGAACTTCTTAATCCCCAAAGAATAAGATTAGTGATTTTAAAAAAGTCTGGCCAGGTACAGAGGATCATGCCTGTAATCCCAGCACTTTGGGAGGCTGAAGCAGGCAGATCACTTGGGGCCAGGAGTTTGAGACCAACCTAGCCAAAAAGGCAAAATACCGTCTCTATCAAAAATACAAAAATTAGCCAGGTGTGGTGATGTGCATGTGTAGCTCCAGCTGCTTGGGAGGCTGAGGCACAAGAATCACTTAAACCTGGAAGGTGGAAGTTGCAGTGAGCCAAGATCACACCAGTGCACTCTAGCCTCAGTGACAGAGTGAGACTCTGTCTCAAAAANAAAAAAAAAAAAAAAAAAAAAAAAAAAAAAAAAAAAAAGTCTGGAAGATGAAACTATCAAGCTTTTAGAAAGACTGACCCTTAAAGTCTTCCTAGGATCATTACTATGCACAGTATCTTGAACATGGCTCCACAAATATCTATAAAAATGAAATGATAAATATCTTAATAGAAAGTGGTGATTTGTCTCCAGGCCACAGAGCAAGGCAGTCTCCAAGGTAGTTGTTGTACAAAATGAATTACTGGAATATGGAAGGAAAGTACTACAACTTCTAGATTTATTTTTTGATAAATAGGAGGAAAGGGCAGAAGGAGAAGGGAAGAAGTTAGAGAAGAAGAAAGGGACAGGGGAAGAAGTAGAGGCAAGGAAAAGGAGAAGAGACACGAAGAAAGGAGAGAGAGGGGCAAGGGGAGAAGAAAGCAGAGGAAAGAAGGGGACAAAGAACAGTAGCAAGGAGAAGAAACTACGTTGTCCATGTTTAACATCTGGATTGATAGTAGTACACATAAATATATATATACATATATATTGAGAATTTAGTCAACCATGTTTTATGGATAAGGTAATGTATTCAAAAGCCTGAAGATCACTGCCCTAGAGTAGTACTTACTTTTCGATCACCCTGAATGCCACAACATGACTCTGTATATAAGATTTTGACTCAAACTCAACAAACTTATTGAAAACATGAATGGAGTATACACACACAATGGGATATTATTCAGCCTTAAAAAGGAAGGAAATTCTGTCGCAAGCTACAACATGGATGAACATTATAGTGGGTGAAATAAGGCAGTCACAAAAAGACAAAGCACTATATAATCCCACTTATATGAGGTATATAACCACTTGAATTAGGTACATGAGGTTACCAAATTCCTGGAAACAGCAAAATGGTGATTACCAGGGATTGTATGAAGTGGC